GTTTAACCATAATTCACCTCTTTCATATGCAGTGCATCAACTTAGAGATGTTTCTATCATCCTAATCAGAATGCATGACTAGGTTTCTCTGTTGCACTGCCCACTCAGGTCGCCAGTGTAGGTGGTCTTCCCTTAACATATTACAGCGTATGTCCACAGATAGCAGCCCTGCGCAAAACTAGGAATATTCCCTGCAGAATTTTATAGAATAAAACATAGCACAATATGTGTATGAAACACATAACTAATTATTCTATATATATATTAATTAGATCATTATTCTGTTTCATGGTAATACATTTCTGTGGATATTAACCCCTTCCAAGGTTCACAACTCAATTTTGGCCATGCTAACGTTTGTCTCACACATTGTTTCTTGCTGAAACAATGCTTCCAGAAATCGAGAGAAACAACTACAAGAAATGACACACAGATTCTTAGCCAGAGGATATTGTGCTCACACTTGAAGTTGCTTTGACCAAAGCCACAGAAAAAGGGGTCTCAGGAGAAACAAGATCCAGCATATTCCACACAAAATGTAGCCCAGATGTACTTACCGCTGACATTCCATACGGGAGCTACCGAAGTCTGCAAATCCATAAAAAAATATTAGGGTATATTACATTCAGATAAGAACCTACGACCTATATTTCAAAGATGACTTGTCGTCAGCTACAAGAGAAGTATAAACCAGAGAGATATGTTGGTTTGCAGTGATATCTACAAATCTTTTTTTTTTTTGTAAATCTGTTTTATTGGAGAAAAAGAGTTAGGCTCGCAGGCCTCAGTGGATAGCATTATTAGTTATTACAACATGTGTCAGTCTTCAAAACAGTATAGTGGGAGTTTCCCAAAACTTCAAGGCATTTACATTCCAATATCAATTTAAGGCTTAGTTAGCGTACATGGTATTTGCATAAATACAGCACAAGAGAGCATTTTTAGTAATTGCTTGCAGGACAATATTTAGTATGTTTGTGTGGGGCATGTTCCTCATTTGATGCTCGACCCTCTAAATATAGGCAAGCAAATATTGCTTTCATTCGTCAGGTTAGTGACTTATATCCCTGAGAGACATATGGGAGTAACAAAAAATATAACGTGTTGTAGGGTGAAGAAGAAGAGGGTTAAGGGATGATGTGTATGTGTGAGGATAGTTCTCCCCGGTGTCCACACTCCCCCGCCCAGTCGCAACGGGCCTTGAGCGTGCGCGTGATGGTCAGGTCCTGTCCTAGCGGCTTACTGTAGTACGTTAGTCATGCATTGTGAACCTATGCTGTGTTATTGTCTCAATGGATTCATCTAGTGGTCGGCTCTATACTGTGTGTTGGGTCCTTCCCTTCGGGCTCCATCTCCTAAATTGCACAGCCGTATGATGTGTCCTATAGGCTGTAGTTCAGTCTATCATGTGCGTTGGTTGGTCGTGTGTGTGTCGGGAGGAATTTCATGATACCACAGTATCGGTTATCTAGCGTGCGCGAGCATAAGTTCGGGTCAGTAAGGTATCGTATGTTACTACGGGCCATAACCCCTCCCAAGATGAATTATCCGACACATAAGGGTAAGTACGGCCAACAAAGGCGACGAGTCCCAGCCTGTCCGTCCCGTCTCCCCGCCCCCGCCGCGCCCCGTATTGGCCCTTTATCTGTCTGCCTGGTACGAGAACCAGGGTTGCCATGTCTCTGCGTGCTTTGTCGAGCGTCCCGCCAGGGATTCCCGCACCGCCTCAGCCGCCTGGATGTACTTGACCCTATGGATCCATTCTTCTATCGTGGGAACGGTTGCTGTCTTCCAATATACTGGGATTAAGGATTTGGCAGCATTTAAGAGATGGCGTAGAATTGATTTCTTATATCTGGGGATAGTTTGTGAAGTAATATGTAATAGGGCCAATTCTCGGGACCATTCGTGTCATCCCCCAAGATCTCCTTTATTTTGGCGTGGATATGGTCCCAATATTGTGTGATGGCATGGCATTCCCACCATAAATGTACTATGGTACCTCTCGCGTCTTGACATCTCCAGCAGAGTGGGGACGCCTCTGGATAGATTTTCTGTATGGCTACCGGGGTTTTATACCACATGGAGATCAGTTTATAATTGACCTCCTGATAGTAGGAGCTTGAGGAGCTTTTGTGCTGCCATAGGAGCGCTGTCCCCCATTGCGTTGGTGTAATGGCAATATCTAGTTGTGTTTCCCATCGTCTTTGAAATGTATTGTTATCCGAAGAGGCCCCAATCAGTAGATGTTGATAGAGCATCAATACCGCGTTCTCGAGTTTAGAACCTCTGCGGCATATGCTTTCGAACCATGTAAGGTCTCTGTGTAGGAGGTCCTTGTGGGGTAAGGATTCGTAGTAATGTGCTAATTGTAGATAATGGAGGGTCAGGAGGGGGTCTGCGGTCTTCCAGCTAATAGTGAGCTGAGGGACCTTCCTCCAGGATCGTGCACATTGGGATATATTCCCTTTCCCCCAAAAAGGCCCAGGTCCTAAAGGGGAGTCCTCCCCCTATATTGGGGTTGTGTGTGATTGAGATCATAGGACTGGGGGTCGGAGAGACCTGTTCCATCTTCCTAGTTGATTTCCAGATCTTCAGAGTCTGTGCCACCGGGTTGCCGTCCTCTTCTGATCCACACCGACCTCTCGCCTCCCTCCATACGTCTGCTTTAAGTTTGGTCCCCGAGTCTTCTCTGTCCAGAGTTACCCACTGTTTCGGGTCTTCTGCTGCGTGCCACTCTAGGATACGTTGCATGGTGGTGGCTTGTTGGTACTTTTTGAAGTCCGGCAGTGCAAGGCCTCCTCTGATCCTGGGTAGGCAGAGCGTTTCATGTCGAAGGCGGGATCTTTCCCCTCTCCAAACATATCGGATGACCGCCGATTTCAGGCTAGAGAAGAACGTTGTTGGTAGCGATATTGGGATGGTTTGGAATAAGTATAATATCCGTGGTAGCACGTTCATCTTGAGGACCGCTATTCTGCCGTGCCAGGTGATGTGTGGATATGCCCATCGGTCGAGGTCCGAAGTTACTTGTCGTAGTATGGCGGCAAAATTGTGTTGGTAAAGGTCGCGTGGGTTGTGTGTCACCCAGATGCCGAGATATTTCATCTTCCCCTCACATCTGCAAAATGGGAAAGCTGTGCTCAGTGTGGCAAATTCGGTTGGTGGGAAGGTGACGTTAAGGATCTCACATTTAGATAAATTAAGTTTGAATCCTGCGATTTTGCCGAAGTTTTCAAATTCCCGGAGCAAGCATGGCAGTGTGATTCGTGGATTAGAGATGAAAAAGAGGAGATCGTCCGCATATGCAGCCACCTTGTGTTCCGTCCCTTTCCATGAATAGCCCTGGATGTCAGGGTTCTGTCGTATCACCTGTAAGAGCGGTTCCAGAGACATTGCAAATAAAAGGGGGGATAAGGGGCACCCCTGTCTGGTCCCGTTGTGAATCTCAAAGCTGGACGTTAGTGCTCCATTTACCTTAACCGCTGCGCTGGGTTTATCGTATAATGCCGATATCCACGACATCATCTTCGGTCCCATTCCCATGGCCCTCAACGTATGCATCATGTAAGACCAGTTGACCCGATCGAAGGCCTTTTCAGCATCCGTGGATAGCAGTATAAGGCGTTCTCGCGAAATCCGTGCTCGATGTTGTATGGAGAAGAGTCGGAGTGTGCTGTCTCAGGCTTCCCTACCAGGTATAAACCCCGTCTGATCCGCATGGACTATGCTCGGCAGTACTCGTTGTATTCTGGTGGCCAACACTTTCGTAAGAAGCTTTGAGTCCACGTTTATTAAGGAAATTGGCCAGTAACTGCCGCAGTGTTCGGGATCTTTCCCGGGTTTGAGCAGGACTGCAATAGTAGCTGCCAGTGATTCTGTGCCGAATCGTCCCCCTTCTGTAATGTCATTAAATGCCTTAGTTAGCCAAGGTAAGAGGATCGAGGAGAAATGTTTGTAATATCCCGCAGAGTATCCATCCGGGCCTGGTGCCTTGACCACCTTCGTGGCCTTCAGGACCGCAGCCACGTCTTCGACACTAATTTGTTCGTCTAACATAGCTGTCGTGTCTAGGTTTGCTCGTCTGCGTACATTATCCCGGAGGAAGGCCTGGATTGGTGCGGGCACGGTGTGTCCTTGCGAAGATTCAGTTGGCGTAGGAAGGTTATACAAGGTGTGATAGTATCGGCGGAATTCATTTGCGATGTCCTCAGGGAATGAGGACGTGGATCCCGATGGGAGGCGTATTTTGTGCACCCTCGTGCGGGAGGTGTCGCCCCTCAGGAGGCGTGCCAGAAACTTGCCGCCCTTGTTGGCGTGAGTGTAGAAGAAATTTTTCGAATATTGCAAAGAGCGATGATATTTCCGTGTGATAAGGTCTCTGAGTTGTCGTCTGGCGTTCGTCAATTCTGTTTGTGTGGTATCAATTTGCATCCGTTTGTGCTGTTGTTCCAATTTTGCAATGGTTTCATAGACTTCCGTTAATTCCCGCATCATTGCTTTTCTCTTGCGAGAGGCTATTCTAATGAGAATGCCCCGTATTACACTTTTGTGTGCCTCCCAGAGTGTAATTGGCGAGATCTGATCCCCATCATTTTCTTTGAAATATAGTTCCAGTGTCTGCGTGACTTCGTTTATTACCTCAGGGTCTTGGAGTAGGGTCTCATTCAGTCGCCAGGTCCAGCGGGCTGGTTTGAATAGAGGCGATTCCATTTCCACTATCGTCGGACCGTGATCTGACCACGTGGCTGGGCCTATGGTAGCCGACCTGAGTCGCGATAATCCTTCCTGTTGTATCAGTATGTAATCAATTCGCGAGTAGCGATTATGTAATGCCGAAAAATGGGTGTAGTCTCTGGAATCCGGGTGGAGTGCTCTCCAGCAGTCCACCAATCCCGTTTCGCTCAGTGATTTGCAAATTGAGTGAATGCTTGAGGCTGGTAAGCTACTATGGCTTGTTGATGTATCCATCTGGGGGTCTAGTGGAGTGTTAAAATTACCTCCTATGATGATTGCCCCTTCCGCGAAGCCCTTCAGTTTACGCAGAGTTCGTCTGAGGAATCTGGCCTGGTTTGTGTTGGGAGCATAAATTGACGCGAAAGTGTAAAGTTTGTCCGCTATGGTGCCTTTCAGGAAAAGGAACCTCCCCTGTGTGTCGAATATCTTGTTTAATTCCTTGAAGTCCAGATCAGCTGACAGGATGATGGCTACGCCCGCTTTACGAGCCGTGTTGTGGTTGCTGAAGAAATTGTTGGGGTAGTACCGGTTCCGCAATTTTGGTGAGAATCCCTCTAGGAAGTGGGTCTCCTGAAGCATAGCAACAGATATTTGTGTCTTCCTCAAGTCGCGTAGTAGATGCGTGCGGCGCTCGGGAACATTCAGTCCCCTGCAATTGAGGGTAAGGACACGTAGTGGCGCGTCGTGGTAGGACGCGGACATCCCTGTAAAGCCCCGAGAGCACGCGGAGAGCTTTGCGTCTGTAACTCACTCCCTTCGCTACAGTTAGCTACAGGGACCCGTTAAAGTCCTATCCAGTGTCTTATATCTTTTGGCGTGAACGGGAGCGCGGTGCCGGAGACGGAAGGCTAGACTGCGCACCCCCACACCGGACTCAAGGTTACCGGTGCTAGGGTTGTCTTGTATATGGGCGACCCCTCCTCCTTTCCTATGCCCCCCTGTACAGTCTGGTTGCAAATTCGCTACCGCTTTCGCGACAGTCAAGGGCGTATATGACTGGTGTGTGGAGGGTGTGGTTTCTGTGTGTGGCACTCAATCTTGTCGGGGCTGGAGAGTGGACACCAGGGAAGTGTGAGTGATATGGAATGTATCAGTTTAGAGGGGAATGGTTAAAAAGAAAAAAAGAGTTTTTTGGGGGGGGGTCGTAAAAGCAGGACCTCAAGTGGAGAAGTTCCTCTATGTGAGGGAACAGGGTGGGTTGAGGATTTCACCTCAATACCTCCTCAGTGTTTGGAGGTATTAGTCGTGCGACAGCCGGATCTGCCGGGGGCCACTCCAGTAACCAGACCGAGATATGGTCCACCAGGTGCTCCGCTGTCAGAAGAGTTGCACGACCCTTAGGTGGAGTCAATGGCTCCGCTCCAGGCCGGTGTGAGAGAGAGAAATGAGAACGATACCAAGTGAGATTCCCCCCCACCAGCACCGCAGCCTAGTGCCATATGAAGTTTCTAAATGTCAAGGCGCCACCCAACAGGGGTGGTACATGTGATCATGAATACAGTAACAATTCAACAATACAATAATGCGAGTACAACATGAAGGTTCCTACACATAAGACGTGTACCTTATCCCACCTTTTGCTCAAAGCCCCGTCCGTTCCCCCCTCCCCGCGTCCCCTGTCTTCCCCCTGCAGTGTGTGGCAGCCGCTGCGTGTCCTCTGAGCAGTCCCCCATTCATCAGTCTGATTGTGCTTGTGTGTCGATTATTGCGCCCCCCAGCTAAACCCTCCTCTAACGTTCTGTTCCCCTCAAATATCTGTTAATGGCGGTGTGCCCTATCGTTCACTAGTTAGGATGTCGTCTCCTACGTCGTGGGGCGTTATAGTAAGTCAGGTCATCCCACTAATCTATGTGTCTGCCAAGGTGGGGGGGAATACATATTCAGGAGGTGCGACATTCATCAGCTAGCATAACATGAATATAACAACAGTATGAAATATAGAGGTTAGGCACGGTAATAAACATTCGTAACTTATCAGGGATTTGGTGAATGAGACCTAGGCGGTGTATACCGGGTGATATCACCCCATACCGTGAGTCCACAGCTCAGATCTGCAGGAGAGTGGCGTAGTCCCGTTGAGCTCAGTTCCAATATGAGTGGGAAAGTCCCCTGGGGTCAGTGATATAAAACGTGCCTTATGAGGTTATAAACAGGGCCCACCCCAGTCAGAGAGTGCCCTATAGTAGCCCACCTCCCAAATGAGTTTCCGCGGTGTCGTTCACTGGGTTAGATGTGTTCCCCAGCACCTCCCGGACCGTTAGGGGGAGAGACAGTTCCTTTCACCCCCACTCAAAATGTCTTGGAGACGAAGAAGGTAGATGAAGCCTCAGATCATCTCTCTGGGAGGGGTAGGGAGTCAGTTATAGGTGTACATGGGGGGCTGCGTCCATTCCCATCCTAGCGCCTGTGCATGTTGGGGTGTCCTCCCCAGTGGGGTGTCTAAGGGGGGGGGTAGAGGGACCGGTGGAGGGCTCACCTGTCACTCTGGTGCCTCCGGGTTAATGCGTCTGCGGGGAGCCGGGCCTCTTGGTGGGTTGTCTCCACGCCTGCGGGGCGCTCTCTGTTGGCGTGGCCTCCCACCCAGTGGACCCAGAACCCAGTCTTGGACGGATATCGGAGGCAGGTCCATCTCCTCCAGGAACCGTGGGACCTCCTCAGGCCAGCGGATCAACACCCATCCATTCTGGTTGCGCGCCAGCAGGGCAAAGGGGAAGCCCCACCTGTAAGGAATATTCCGCTCCTGCAGGGCTGTGGTTATGGGCTTTAACGCTCTCCTGGCTTCAAGCGTGATGGGCGAAAGGTCACTGTATAGAGAAACTGAGGCCCCTTGAAAATCCCAGGTTGGGCGGGAACGGGCCGCCTTCATGATAGCGTCCTTATCTCTAAAAGAATGGAGGCAGCAAATCAAGTCCCGTGGGCCTTCTTCCAGGGACCGGGGGCGCAGAGCTCTATGTGCGCGTTCGAATTTGAGAGTCTGGGGTGCTTCCTCTCCCAATATCATGCGGAATAGGTTAGATAAAATGTCTGCCGCATTTTCCTCCCTGCCCTCAGCTTCAGGGACCCCACGGACCCTGATGTTACATCTGCGCCCCCTGTTATCTAGATCTTCAACTGACCATCTCATGTGGAGTAACAGCTCCCCTTGACGTGTGAGTGCCGTGTCTGTTGCTTGGTGTCTCGCAGCATGAGCCCCCTGTGTGTGTTCCAGTTCCTGGATGCGGCCCGCTTGCGCAGTTACCTCCGTCCGGAGCCCTGCCATCTCAGCTCTCAGAGCGTCCTGTATGGTGGTAGTTAGGACTAACAAGTCAGCTTTCGTGGCCATTGCAGTTGCCATATTTCGGAGTTCTTCTCCAATCTTTTCCAGTGCAGCACCATGTGGTTCCCTGGGGGATGATGCCGTCGGCGCCATATTGGATCCGCTTGTTCCCTCGGCCACATCAGGCTGGGTCTGGAGGAACCCGTCCATCGGGCCGTGTGTCTGACCCAGCTGTGTACCCCTCGGGGTTTGGGGGGCCTCGGTGCGTCGGTGGCGCCCCATAAACGCTAATGTTTGCTATTTAGCAGGCTGTTTACGGCGCCGGTGGAGCGGAGCTCTCAGATCACGCGTCCATCCCGGTCAGAGCCTAAGCCTACAAATCTAACAAATCTACAATACACAAGAAAAAAGAGTGCTACAAATGCAGTGGTTGCGTTACATGCAGCCATATGAACTCTGGCAGTTCCTTTCTCCATCCGCATAGTGGCAAAAGAATCCCCATCACACAATACATCACCTGTATGATGGATCACATAATATACTTAATTACGTGTCCATGTGGACTATCATACGTGGGGAAGACCGATCTTACTCTATGGGACCTTATCAGAGGTCACAGGTCTGGCATCATGATGGCGTTCAGAGACCAGAAGACAGATAAACCCGTTGCTAAACACTACTTAGCAGCATCTTATAGACTGCCTACCCCTCGATTTATTGCCATAGACCATATCCCCCTTTATCCCGTGGGGACGATAGGTTGAGATTGCTGCTTCAAAGAGAAGCATACTGGATCCATCGTTTGAATACAGTGGTACCCAGAGGCCTCAACGAGCAAATTGTATATTCCATGTTCCTTTAGTTTTTCCAATTATTTAGTGAAATATTTAGTGAAATTTTGTTTAGCCCATAGCCTAGGTCCCCAGTACACATATCTACAATTTAATGGAACATATAAGGCTTATTATATGATATTCACCATGTAGTATTTTAAAATACATGGCCCATTCTCATATAGTTCCAAATAGTGACATTGTACCATGTCTTATTCACCTAATCTCTTGACTCAATATATAACTTTCACTATCTCTTTGATACTCTATTTTTTGGACCATTAACAATCTTTATTACATATTCATATAATTAATAAATCTGTGCATATTCACATATGCTGATCATGTTTATTTTGCATAGATTCTGATGGTATGTGCATACAGCTTTTGATTAAGTTAGGGGTCTGCCATAGTTATGTATATACTGTGTGTTACACTTTGCTTTCACATTTCCACCACATCTTATTTTTTGCACTTGTGGAGCTCCTACACTTACTTGATTATCAGCAAGTACATACTTTAACTAATGGTATTTCAAGTTCAATTATCTTTGTTCCTAGAAAATAACTTTGAAATATCCTCCATCTTTGTTATTAACTGTGTTATTTTATCTGTCCACAGCACTTCACTGTAGATACGCAGTACGGGGGAATCACATTTATATCATTTTGTAATAGAAACAAATTGTCACAACGAAGTATTCATTTATGTAATCTCTCTCTCTATTGAAATGTGTACGATCACTTAATATGAGGAATGCAGGCAGTCACACAAAAAAACGGACTAACAAGTGTGACGTCATATGCGTAAGTGACTGTATAATGAGAAAGAGGATTGGAACACATGTACGGCAAACGCCGAATACCTGGCGGGAAATTTGATTGTTAAGCAGCATGTACTTACCAATATACAGGTATATAAGCAGGTCTCCAGACAGGCGGAGGATCATATTGGAGAGATTCACCCAGCTGAGGAAGCCGGAGGAAAATCGTCAAAACGTGTCCTGGGGACTTGACGGATCACCTTCATGCCTTTATGTATTGTATTTATTTTAGAGTTATTTTAGTTTTTATATGCTAAATGGCCATTAGAATTTTATATATTATTTAATAAAGTTCCTTTTTAAATATACTATTTGGACTATTTGCATATGGGAGTGTAGTCCCAAACTACACAATGTGCTGCAAGAGAACCGAGACGTTGCTCCACCTTTGTGAGTTTATATATCACCATTACGTTTCAAATTGATTCCAGTTCCTGAATATACTGCACTATATATATATATATATATATATATATATATATATATATATATATATATATATCTTTGTTTAAGCTTCAGTGTGCGCTGGAAAAGACCATTAGAACTTGAATTAAAGAAGGGGAGGTCGCCTTTACGGACCTACAAGCTTTCTACCCCTGAGCTTGGCGAATAGCTCAGAAGAGTGTGAGTGTAGCGTTACTTACCTTAACCGGGGGCCGGTCGCGGTCCTCTCTTCAAGCCGCGCGCGGTCCTGCGGCTGCACGAGCCGCGCGCGGCTCATCCGACTGCTTCAGATGGAAGGCGGGCAGTGACCGCGTGAAGCGGTCACATGTCCCGCCTGAAACTAAGA